AACTTTAAGTCACTAATGCACTAGGACTGAAAAACCTGCACGACTATTGCCACTGTTTCTTTAAATACCACTTTTTATTGTACATGATGTTAGGCCTGTCACGATAACGTATTTTGCTGGACGATTAATTGTCTCATAAATTATTGCGATAAGCGATTATATTGTCGTTCTGAGATCATTTGCATCGATTACAATGATAATGCAGGTACACCTTTTCAAAGAGAAATAAACTTTTATTTTTAACGAATATTTAACGCTAGAACACAATAAACTGATTGTGTTTTAGATGCATATGCAAGTTTGTTGTGTTGCCGCTTTTAACTGCAACTGTTGCGACACACCGACTCGCACATGTTTAGTGGTTCACCACGGGCATTCGGTTTAAATCCGAAATGCTCCCACACTGCAGCTGTCGCGTTTGGCTTGGAAACCAATTCCATCGTTTTGTCCCGCACTCGCAACTAGCTTTCTCTCTGCGTAGTGCCTACCGGTAAACTTCTCTCGCGGCTCCTCAGCTGCACTCTGTGGGCTACGCCAGTAGTCCCACCTCCCCACACACCAGGCGAATGACAAGTGACTGACATGTGGGTTCACCAATGGGGCGTACAGAAGTCCTGCTGCGGTAGCGCCCACCGGAAGTAGCGGGGCAGGCTTTGATGCTAACAGCTAAGCTAGCGGGTTTTTTGTGTAAAGTTCTACTCCAAGAATGCAAGTCTGCAGCATCTCTGTGTTCAGAGACCTTCTAGAGACTTTATATAACAGCAGTATGTGTTCACGGAGGTGCGCCATAAGTTTATTTTATTGGTACGGTACTTCTGCATCGGCGAACACGCTAACGCTAGCTGCGCTAGTATAGTCACTAATCAAGCCTGAATGAGAACTCAGCTGCCGGCATATGTTCACAACTACTGTGTCCCCCATTGTCAATCCTGGTTAAGTCCTGGTTTAGGTCCTGTTTTGGCTGTATTTTGTATTTTTGAGTAATTTCCGTCTGCTTGCTAGACCGCTAATGTTCCCGTGACCACTTTGCGGCTCTCTGACCCGAGAGAGACGGGGGGAGAGAGAGACGGGAAAAACAAACAAGCATGCAAATGGGATTTATCGCGGCCAGAAAAGTTATTGAGCAAATTTTATTTATCGTGCGATTAATTGATTTATTGACTATCGCGACAGGCCTACATGATGTATCCTGCATTCAACATGTTTGTAAATTTTTTTCTTGTGCACAATCTTGAGTGATTCTATCCATGCCAGATGTGACATGTATATGTCTCCTGTGTGAGATCAATAAAGTCCATCTTATCTTATCTTAAATCTGCTCCAGTGTAAGAGGATGCTTTGTTAACTCGTAAAGCTGGTTTTGGTTGGAGCTTGAAATAACTAATTTTGGGTGGCATCCTCGAGCTCACGCTGGTGTCTTCTCTCAGTTTGTTAGGACCGTCGCCTTCTCTAAGTGAAAGATTATAGGAACTGCTGCTTACACTTTTCTTTCTGTAACATTCATTGCTGCATCCCGGGGCCGTACAAAATACACATTTTGTGTCACAGCACAAGCAATGTAGTAAACACTAAATCAAGAGCTTCGACCCCTACAACAACGTCATACATTTTCTGACCAATCAGAGGCGTTCATATTAAAAACTTATTTTACTGATTTATTAATTATAGATGGCACAAAAACACATTGCTGAGTTGGGAAATGCATGTTTGTAATGTGCTTTATATATATAATCTGTCGCTGCTCAACTCCACAACCACCTCACCACTAACAACATCTATGAACAATTTCAATCTGGTTCCCGCCCCCTCCACAGCACCGAAACAGCACTGTTAAAAATCACCAACGACCTCCTCATAGCCTCTGACTCCGGTTTACTCTCCATCCTCATCCTTCTTGACCTCACTGCAGCTTTTGACACCATTTCTCACTCCACTCTCCTTAAAGAAGCTATACCCGATTTTTTTTCTAAGTAGTTCATAAAAATGCTTTTTACTACATACAAGTTGTATCATAATACATAATTTAATTGAAAACTTGAGGTCATTGATTCCACTATGTATGAAATTCAGGCAGTGAAAAGTGCTGAGTAGAGTCTGAGCGGGCCGCTCGTTCTCCTCCGCTCACAGAACAAGAAGCGAACAGCCTGCGTCCTCTAGCCTCTACAGCGCTGCTCAACACCAGGGCTTCGACTTCAAAATTCGAAATATAATTCTAAAATAAAAAATATATACATATTTGAACCAATATTAGACAACCCTTATAATTAGAAATTTATTTAATGACTGCAAATAAAATAGTTAGCTCCCAAAGGTTTCACCGGGACGTGCTAGGCAGGTAACAGCTAAGCTAGCTAGCTGTTTCATGGTAACTTCCGGGTTTTTCGCGATCGCTTTTTGTCACTTTAAAACAGTATTTTTGTCATGAAAACGTTGACAGCAAATTCTGAAATCGTCTGTGCATGTGTGTTAAGGATGTATATGTATACTGTATTGTCCGATTAACGTTTAATGGTGTTGATTGATTGATATGTATTTGTTTATTGAGCGTGGCTAGCTCCGCTAGCTTCTCTACACAGACAAGTGTGCAGAAAAACTGCACAATGTAGTGACAGGCGCTGATAGCTTGTTGTACTTGCAAAGTAATGGCAGTATTTTACACACCTGAATTACAAACAGAGATTGCATTGGGGCTTCGGTCATTATTGGTTTGAGAGTTCTGTTATCAAGAAAAAAATGATCGGAAGAATTGCATTCAAGTCAATGGAGTGCTGCTGCTGTGAGGAGCTGTATAATAAATTATAATTAAATATTAGAATATATTCTAATGTTTAAATTAATACATCCGGACGCGAAACTAATGATTTTCGTTTACTTATATATTGTGTTAGCAGTGCATTGCTTTAGTACCATTTCATCAGTGATTGTTGTACAGCTTACAAGTTGCGCTAATGCTAATGTTTGCATACGTATCAGATCGCAAATAAAACTAGGTGGCTCCGTGTTATGAGAGCGTAGGGGAAATGAGAAGCCATTGAGCGAGTTGGGGGGCGGTGCTAAACATTCAAACATTGCAGAAACGGGTATAGCGCCTTTAACAAACTCTCCTCCATCGGCATCACCCACACCCCCCTCGCCTGGTTCACCTCCTATCTTTCTGGCTGCTCACATTACATCCATCTCAAATCCCACAAATCCCACACTTTTCCTGTCACCGCCGGTGTGCCCCAAGGCTCTGTCCTGGGGCCCCTCCTCTTCATCATCTACAGTGCCTTGCGAAATTATTCGGCCCCCTTGATCCTTTCAACATTTCGCCACATTTCAGGCTTCAAACATAAATATATAAAATTTTAATTTTTTGTCATGAATTAACAAGTGGGACACAATCGTGAAGTGGAACTAAATTTATTGGATAATTTAAACTTTTTTAACAAATAAAAAACTGAAAAGTGGGGCGTGCAATATTATTCGGCCCCTTTACTTTCAGTGCAGCAAACTCACTCCAGAAGTTCAGTGAGGATCTTTGAATGATCCAATGTTGTCCTAAATGACTGATGATGATAAATAGAATGCACCTGTGTGTAATCAAGTCTCCGTATAAATGCACCTGCTCTTTGATAGTCTCAGGGTTCTGTTTTAAAGCGCAGAGAGAACCATGAAGACAAAGAAACACACCAGGCAGGTCCGAGATACTGTTGTGGAGAAGTTTAAAGCCGGATTTGGATAGAAAAAGATTTCCCAAGCTTTAAACATCTCAAGGAGCACTGTGCAAGCAATTATATTGAAATGGAAGGAGTATCAGACCACTGCAGATCTACCAAGACCCGGCCGTCCCTCCAAACTTTCATCTCAAACAAGGAGAAGACTGATCAGAGATGCAGACAAGAGGCCCATGATCACTCTGGATGAACTGCAGATAACAACCGTGACTTCACACGGTGTGGTGGTGCCAGGCCTGGGGTTGAGGCTCGAAAGCGAGCGCCTGGTGGCCGGGCTTAGCCCGAAGGAACGCCGTGGGCCAGCCACCACCCACAGAAGGATCCGTGGTGGCATGAAGCAGAGAGGACTGGGAAGCAGTTGAAGGCGGAGACCTCGGCGACCCAGTCCATGCACACGCTGCATCTGGTTGTTGGGATGTGGAACGTCACCTCACTGGAGGGGAAGGAGCCTGAGCTCGTGGGGGAGGTTGAGTGATACCGACTACATATAGTTGGCCTTACCTCCACACATAGCTTGGGCTCTGGAACCCAACTCTTTGAGAGGGGTTGGACGCTTAATTTCTCTGGCATTTCGCGCAAGGAGAGGCAGGGAGCAGGGTTGACCATACTCTTTCACCGGAGTTCTCCCTGGGGAATGAGAGTGTCGCGTCACTCCGCCTCCGGGTGGGGGACAAGTCTCTTACTGCTGTGGCAGCCCTACAGGCCAAACAGCGGTGCACAGTACTCTGCCTTCTTTTACTCCTTTTCGAGGGGTACTGGACGGTACACCGACCGGGGACTCAGTTCTTCTCCTGGGGGACTTCAACGCCCATGTGGGAAGCGCCAGTGACACTTGGAAAGGGGTGATTGCGAAGAACGGCCCCCCTGATCTAAATCCGAGTGCCATTCAGTTGTTGGACTATGCTAGTTACAGTTTGTCCATCATGAACACCATGTTCGAGCACAAGGGTGTCCACCTGTGCACGTGGCATCAGGACAGCCTAGGCTGGAGGTCAATGATCAACTTTATTGTCATATCATCTGACCTTCGTCCGCGTGTCTCTGACTCACGGGTGAAGAGAGGGCCGGAGCTGTCAAGCGATCACCACCTGGGCCGTTCGGTCCTTGTATGACCGGAGCCAGAGCTGCGGTTGCATTGCCAGTAGTAAGACCTGTTCCCAGGACCAGGACCTGCAACAAGCACTGGGACAGTTGGCCAATGCAGTATTTCGAAGCAGTTTGCCTCACACTCTCCTGAGCCTCGGTGTTGTCTTTACTCATGACTTGACTCACATGTCTTCACAGTGGCTATGGATGTGCGGACCATTACTTTGAGTCGGACACTCTGTTGCACAGCTTTGAAGTTCTACAGAAACTGTTGGAGTCGGCAATGACTAAAGACATCATCTGTGACGTGGGGATGTGAGTCACCCCCTCCCCCTCTCCCTCACTCACCCACACTTTCACCCTACCCCTGACCTCACCTTGACCCTCACCCTACACACATACACATGCCATAAAGTGATTTGAATGTTTCTTTCTGGTCTTTATCCTGTGAGTATGAAGTGTGCTATACAAATTAACCTGCCTCTGTTTTCAGGCCCATCATGCATCATAATGTGCGCTACAACTGCAGAGTGCTGTTTCTGAACAGGTACCACTTTCACCATGTGACATTACCACTGTGTGACATCACCACTGTGTGACAAATATATAGGCTGTGTCCAAAACGCTAGGCATCGGGCCGCGTAGGGTGGATATGTAGGCTTGTGACGTCACTTCCTCATGCGCCTCGCCTCGCAGGGGTGTCCAAATCTACTTGGCGAGCTGGGCAGAGGGCCTTCGTCTCCATGGAAACGGCCACTTTTGGAGCAGATATGAAGGATGCATCTGATGTATGCTTCGTTGCCTTCTTTTTCCCGAGTCACGGCCGCGCATGCGCAGAACTCCGTTTGGCATTAACATGTAAACAACACACTCAGCTCGGACCTGCTGGAGCTAACATTATGGTAAGCACTGCTATATTTTACTGTGAAGTTTTGTCTGTAGTAAGTACTGCTATACTTTACTGATGAGTTATGAACACGACTGTAAAACAGACATAAGTTAGATCTGCCACAGATGTGTGTATTTAACCTTGTTACCTGCTGTGATTAAGCTCAGTCCCTAAAAGCTAATGCTAATGCTACGAGGCTAGCTAGTTCATTCAGATTCGGTTTTTGAACAAATAGATTGTTTTATCTTTAGAGAGAAACAAACCCACTGATTAAATATTAAAGCTACACTGAGGAAATAGTCACGTTTTCGTGGAAAATCACTCAGCAGCACAGCAGCAATAGTGTGCTAAAACGTGTTTTCTGTATTCCTATAAAATAGATTGTGCATATCGTTTTTAATCCCATACTGAGATTGGGAATACTGCATATTCATTTACATTTACTGTGTATATTAGACATATGAAATTATAGAATCGGCCAAGAATTATTATAAAGCCCTTTTCATACAATAGTCTAATAAATAGTAAACACACATTATACAGACGTTTCGTTGGTCATTAATAAGACATTTGCAGAGGACAAAGTCCCACTTCCACAAATACAGGTTTAAAGTGGTTAGCCATGCTTCTAACTTGGTTATTTTTGTATATTTCTATCATATCATTATTCTGTTTCCCCTGCTGTGAAGCTTGTACCTCTAATATTAAATACAGTAAGGAATTCTGTATTTTATTTTAAACCAGTTTTTTGCAAAGCCCCAAATAAATAGTATTAATTGAATATGAAGTGTGAAAAGAATGCTAAATGTGGGCTGTGTTTTAATGCATGATGTTTGTGTTCTTTTTCAGAGACTTGTGGTGAAATTAAGGTCATCATTTCTCCAGCTTCACGTCCTGCTTCACCTCCATCACCTCCTGCTTCACTGCTGAAAACATTATGAACTACAACAAACTTGTATATAATATTTTCATTTAATCATCAGTCATGAATAGTTAGAACAGTGGGCTCTGCATCTCTGAAGACATGTAGCAAGAGCAGGAGCAGAAGGAGCAACAGGAGGAGTAACAGCAGCAGCAGAAGGAGCAACAGGAGGAGTAACAGCAGCAGGAAGAGCAACAGAAGGAATAACAGCAGCAGCAAAAGGAGCAGCAGGAGGAGTAACTGCAGCAGGAGCAACAGCAGAGTCCTGGGCCTCTGCCTCTGACACAGGTCTCATCGACAGCACTTCACAGAGAACCTGGAAATAAAGAATACAAAAATCAAACTTGTTAGTTTTATTATAATTTTGTTGTTTGTCTGAAATGTAAAGCGTCATCAAAGTGAGATTTACACAACTACATATTTGTTAGCAGTACTTATAATTGAATACATTAAACTCAAATATGATTAGTAACGGTCTGTTTTCTTTTCAAGACATAAAGTGAATAAGAGCAGTGTCAAACATCTCCTGTGTTCAACTCCATTTTACAGATGTCAGTTAATGTTTCCATGGATGTTCCAGTTTGTATTATAGATGAATGGATGTTCCTCTCTCATCAGCAAACACACATTATTACATTTAGGTCTGATAAAATTACTTTTAAGTGATGCACAAACGAGGGCCATAGCAAATATATCATTAATATATGATAATCATTTATTGCAAATATGTGCATTGTTTACATAAAATATAACTTTGTAAAAACGAATGATTACTGACAATACAATTGTTATAACAGAGAAAGTGTACAACAAAAGCATCCTCTGGTTTTTCAGAATAGGATTGTAAACATCCAGGGGGCTCTCATTACGTGAACCTGTGTTTAGACAGCCTGTTCTGGGCTTCAGCACTGCAGCTAACTGGGCTGTTAGCTTATAGCACTGGAGCTTCAGGCTAGGTAAAGTCCAAAGATTTTCGAAAAAATTTCCAAACAGACTTCTGATATGACAATAGAGGGGGATATTTCTCGTCCTAATTAAAGCGTATTTTGAACTTTTTACCGTCCATCATGGCCGCCGTGTCCTTCCGCTCCGCTCTGAGTTGTGTAGTCACGTGACGAAGGCAGAAGGCAGCTGCTGTCCAAATCCACCTCAGGTCTCGCCTTCTTCCTCGCCTGTGCCTACGCGGGTTTCCCTTTATGCCTACGTATCCACCCTACGCGGCCCGATGCCTAGCGTTTTGGACACAGCCATAGAGTTCTTTAGGTTTCCTTATGTTTGAGGCTTAGAAGGTTTTTCTAAGACCTCACCACTGTGTCACTTCATGGTGTCACACATTGTTGTGTTTCAGAAAGATTCTTCTGATTCGACCAAAGATGATGATGGCAAATGTTGGAGTCCACAGAGAACTGCGCTGGTTCTCCCCCTGGAACCGAACCAGGTCTGGACCCAGACTGGACCAGGGACTGGACTGACACATGAGACCCAGGTCCAGACCAGGTCCTCAACTCAGTAAAACCATGACATCTGGACCTCTATCTAGATGATACTCTTGAGCTGGATATTGGATGTATTTTTATAAAGTCATTGTTTGTGCTTGTGTATGTATTTTATTTGTTTCCATGGTGTTCTTGGCCAGGTCTCCCTTGTAAAAGAGATTTTATCTCAAGGGACTTCCTGGTTAAATAAAGGTAAAATAAAAAATATCCAGAGCCCTGCAGCACAATATCAGCACTCATCCAGGGGTCAGAAGGGTATTGACCGACAGTAATATTGACTTAGGCTCAGGGATCAGTGTTGAACTGAGGTCAGATGTTTGTAGACATCCCACACTCCCAAGATACATTCATATTTGTCTTTCTGTCCCTCAGACACGTGGAGGAGTTCTCTCTGCCTCGGATGATCCAGGATGTCACTGGACAGGTGCAGTATGAAGACCATAGACTTCAAACACATTCACATGAGGACCATTGATTTCAAACACATCCAGATGAAACAACATCTGATCTCTATAGGAGACCGTCCCATTTGGAGACTGTGTCCTTTCCACGAGAGACACCTGCATTGGCTCCGAGATCTGTCAGGAGCTGTGGAGCCCCTACAGGTAAGATCTATCAGGTTAACACTATCAGGTAGGTTCTATCATGTGAACACTATTGGGGAGCTATCGGGGAGCATTATCAAGGGAGCTCAAACTGACAGCTGCATTACCAAACGAAGCAGAAAAATACAAAAACTGAAAGATAGTGAAATGGTGCAGATTTCAAAAGCGTTGCTCGCTACTCTGCAAAAGCAACAAGACTTACACCAAGCCTTCAGTATCCAGAGATGCTGCAACCGAGTCCAGAGAACGAACTGTTTACGTACGTTTAGAATACAAAAGTAGGCATATAAAGGAACCATGATGCAGTTAACTGGGGCAAAAAGTATTTACTCGGCCACTAATTGTGCAAGTTCTCCCACTTAAAAAGATGAGGGAGGCCTGTAATTTTCATCATAAGTTTACCTCAACTATGAGAGACAGAATGAGAAGAAAAAATCCAGAAAATCACATGTAAGTAAATAAGTAAGTAATCTTTATTTATATACCGCCTTTACATTCTTACTTACTTACTTACTCCTTCGGTGCCTGGGTGGGGTGTTTGGGATCTTTGTCATGCTGAAGGACCCAGCCACGTTTCATCTTCAATGCCCTTGCTGATGGAAGGAGGTTTTCGTGCAGAATCTCACAATCAGAATCAGAATCCTTTTATTGCCATGGGAGTAAGTAAGTAATGTTTGTTTATATAGCGCATTTTACAGACCAAGGTCACCCAAAGCGCTTTACAGTGTTCAGAGTTCAGATATTGTTCCAATCATTCCACACACGGTGATGACGGAAGCGAGTCGCCGAACACACTGGCGCGTCAGCCCCCCATCAACACCATCCATTCACTCTCTTTTACATACGTACCTATGCATGTTTTTAGTGGTCGGGGAAACCGGAGCACCCGGAGGAAGACACGCAGACACAGGGAGAACATGCAAACTCCACTCAGAAAGGCCCTGTTCCGACCGGGATTCAAACCCAGGACCTTCTGGGTTCGAATCAAGAAGTCACAAATTATGAAATTGCTTTGGCTCTCGGTACAAACAAGTTAAAGCAGAATAAAATCAAGAAGGTATGCATAAATAAAAATTCAACATACATTTTTTCAATTTTACAAAAATTGTGTGCACTATAGACTGTAAAAAGTAATTACCCACCCCTGCTCTAGCAGGTTAGCTATAGCTGACAGCTTGTGATCTGGTATGACATGGCTCTCACAGCCACATGAGTCTGGTCGGAGTGGAGATCTTCAACGGCTCAGCTAGTCACTAGGAAATGAGGGTGGGGGCGGGGCACTGTGCAAAAAGTTATATTTTGGTTTCATCTAACCATATGACATTCTTCCAATCCTCTTCTGAATCATCCAAAGGCTCTCTAGCAAAATTCAGACGGGCTTAACACTAGAAAACCCAACCGAAATTGGCCCCTGTTTTAAGAAGAGGGAGCTAACTTGCTAGGTTGGCTGCTAACATTTGCATGTATTGATTTGCAAATGTAGGTAATGACTTATAACAGCAGGGGGCTGGGGTGGGCTTTGTTTATTCGTGCGGGGGAGGGAGAGCTGCAAGAGAGTACTACAGTAGTCTGTGAGACCACAGATACACATGTGGACAAAGCAGAAGAGATGCCATTGGCAGTGCTGTGTCCCCTGAGAATGCGCTGTATATATTTTGTAATCAGTTTTTCTCAGTGTCTTTGGTGCATTTTTCACATAATTCTTCACATTTTAACAACAGTTAGTGCATTTCTCAGAACAATGAGTGCAAACTGCAAAACCTCATGGATAACCTGCTAAAAAGTCACTTTCTCAAAATGAACTTAATTCCTCAAAAGAAAGTCTTCATGTCAATGAAACTGTGTCTCAAAAGAATAAGTCCTGACATCAGTGTTTATGAACAACAGTCAAATGATTTAGTCATGTTTTCATTGTGACTGCATTTAGTGATACATATGTATGTACTGTATGTTCACATATTTACTGCTTATGCTCTTTGCAATTCTACAGCATTCTGCAACAAAAATAGTACACATACAGTATTTACGTAGAAAAACATACAAAAAATCATTACGGTAGAACCTCCACAACATTGAGTCGTGTGTGACATCATCGCGCCAGTTTCTCCTTTGAACACTTTACAAATGCTTTTGGACATGTATCAGTTACTTTCATACAGTTCTCTGCTGTTTTATAACATTATCATTTGCTTCTGTCCTGTCAATCAGAATGAAACATACTTATCACGACTGAATAGTTTCTGTAAAACCAGTAGTCCTCATTTCATTGCTTTGGTCATCACATACAAAACTGTTCAAAACCAAAATCTGTCAAACTAATTTCATACATTACTTTATCTTTTTATATCCAGAAAATCTTTCCTAATTTCGAATTTCAGCTTCACTCATGACGAGGTGTGTGTTTTATTGTTTACATTCGTCACAGTTCTACCATAATGATATTCTGTATGTTTGCTCTATGTATGTGCCTGTATTTCTGTTGCACAATGCTGTAGAATTGCAAAGAGCATATGCAGTAAATATGTGAAAGACATACAGTACACAGACATACATCGAAACACATACATGCACAAACACACACACACATACAGTACATACAGTATAAATGTTCTTTTACTCTCACTAAATACAGTTGTGTGTAACTTTACTGTAGTTTTCAGCTGTACAGTGCTCACCAAGATCAGATTTTTTGCTTTGAAAACACAGAGAGTAAAGTGTCACAATGAAAACGTGACGAAGTCATTTGACTGTGTTGTTCATACTCCATGTTGTTAAGACTTATTATTTTGAGACACAGTTTCCTCGACATGAAGACTTGCTTTTGAGGAATAAACGTTTCATTTTGAGAAGGTGATGCACTTTTGCAGGTTATCCCCAAGGTTTTGCAGTTTGTACTAATTGTTCTGATAAATGCACTAACTGTCGTGCAAATGTGAAGAATTATGTGATAAATGCACCAAAGACACTGAGAAAAACTGTAAGTAGCATATTTATTTTGTAAACAATGTAAATTTTGACGTTGCTCGTTTGTTTTCTTTCAATTCACTTTATTATTTTCATTATTATTTTTTAACTAAAGTCAGCATGACACTAGATTTAACTCATTTTAACTCAGATCCTCCCTCTCCCGAAGAAGACAAAGTAAAGTGGTTGAGCAACTTCAGCTCAGCCTGTGATAATGGCCTTATTTACATAACAAAGTTGGCCGTTCACAGGTGATTTAGTTTGTTAGCTAAAATCCTTGGAGTCATTTGGCACCGTGGTGGGCTTTTTAGGTAGGCCAAATGGCACCTCCATGGGTTTGCTAGTGTTAATGTACTGGCTTAAGCAGGGGACATGTCTGGCACTACAGGACTTGAGTCCCTTGCGGCGTAGTGTGTTACTGATGGTAACACACTAACACACTTCTACTTTTAAGACCGGGAAAGTGGACACGTCTTTTTTTTTTTTACCTATTCTCTTCATTGATCAATTCTCTGCACCAATGAAATGTGTCAAGATATACATGTGATGAGAATTATCTGCGGATCTCCGGATCCGCAAATTCCGACAAATTTGGGCGAAATGCGTGACCGCGGGCAGTTGTTTGCGTTACGTACTCGAACGGGATTAACATCCTCCGCTCTGACCCCGGGAGCAACAGTGGCTGCTTTGACAGCTCAGCGAACAGGGGTCATGTACCGAGCGCGGACCATAGACGCGCGATCAGGACCGAGGGAGGGACGGGGGAGACGGACAAGACCCGCACATGCAACAAGCTCCCTCCCTCTTTTGTCCCCCGTCTCTCCCTGTCTCTCCCTCTTCTCCCCCCGAAGTCTCCTGACGAAGTGCAGCCAAGACTCACTGAAATTTAAAGCTCAGCTACCTAAATGTTTGCTTGCATTGACAATGCATATTTTTTGGGCAAAAAATAAAGTGTTGTGTCCAAATCAAACAGAACAAACCAAAACAGTCTTGTTTTGTTTATTTTGCTTACTTTAGGAAGAGCCTTGTGAGTCATTATTTGACTTTTTGGGCTGAGAGTGGATTTTTTATATTGTTTTCCACATAATTCGTGCCACTTAATTGCCAAACTCTTTTTGACTTATTGCATTGATAAACATGTGTTAGTCTCACATTGTTTTTGGTTGTTTTATTACCTTTCCTGTGTGGAAGTTGTATATTCTTCTACTGAAGTTTTATAATAATACACTGCATTCTTATTGAAAGCCACAAGTGTCAGCTCTCAAATTCTTTTGAAATTATGTTTCTATCTGCTACAGAGGCCAATCATTTAGTAGACGTTGAATTTCAGGAAAACTTCAGGTTTTGGAGGGTGGTTCTGAAGTCGGCCTCAGGTTTTGCAGGTCTGTTTTACCAGGCGATGCAGGCCTTAATGGGTTAAGTGGGAAAACTTGCACAATTGGTGGCTGACTAAACACTTTTTGGTCCCACTGATTAAAAAAATAAAATTGTCCACTCACCTTTGGCCCTCCGCGGGCGGTAATCCCAGAGGCCTTGGAGCTTGATGGTTCTGCGCAGTATCTTTGCTGTTCCTAGCACTGCACATTTCTGGACCGAGATGTCCGAGGTTGTTCCAGGGATCCGCTGTAACCACTCTTCTAGCTTCGGGGTCACTGCCCCGAGTGCACCGATCACCACGGGCACTACTGTCACCTTTACCCTCCAGGCCCTCTCCAGCTCCTCTCTGAGACTTTGGTATTTCTCAAGCTTTTCATGTTCCCTTTTCCGGATGTTACCATCGCTTGGAATTGCCACGTCCACCACCTCGGCTGTCCTCTGCCCTTTGTCTACCACCACCTCTCCTCTACCAGAGGCTTGGGAGCTAAAGGATTCTGCACAGTATCTTTGCTGTTCCTAGCGCTGCGGGCACTACTGTCACCTTTACCCTCCAGGCCCTCTCCAGCTTCTCTCTAAGCCCTTGGTATTTCTCAAGCTTCACGGGTTCTTATTTCATGATGGTACCATTGCATGGAGTTGCCACGTCCACCAGCACGGCTTTCTTCTGCCGTTTGTCTACAACCACAATGTAAGGTTGGTTCACCATTACCATTCGGTCGGTCTGTGTCTGGAAGTCACACAGGATCTTCGCACGCTCATTCAGTTTCAGTTTCCCACTTAGACTTTGGGGTTTCCAGCCCATACTCTGCACAGATTTTTCTGTACACTATGCCAGCCACTTATGGCGTTCCATGTAGGCCTTCCCTGCCAGCCTCTTGCACCCTGCAGTTATGTGTTGGATCGTCTCAGGGGCCTCTTTGCACAACCGACACCTTGGGTCTTGTCTGGTGTGGTATATCTGGGCCTCTATTGCTCTGGTGCTCAGGGCCTGCTCCTGTGCAGCCATGATGAGTGCCTCTGTGCTGTCCTTTAGGCCAGCCCTTCTAGCCATTGGTAGGCTAGAAAGTACCTATTTCACATAGGTACAAAGAATTTATTTGTAAATTATGGTGGAAAATAAGTATTTGGTCAATAACAAAAATTCAACTCAATACTTTGTAATATAACCAATAACAATAACAGAGGTCAAACGATTACTATTGGTCTTTACCAGGTTTGCACACACACTAGCTGGTATTTTGGCCCATTCCTCCATGCAGATCTTCTCGAGAGCAGTGATGTTTTGGGGCTGTCGCCGAGCAACACGGACTTACAACTCCCTCCACAGATTTTCAATGGGGTTGAGGTCTGGAGACTGACTAGGCCACTCCAGGACTTTCAAATGCTTCTTACGGAGCCACTCCTTCGTTGCCCGGGCGGTGTGTTTGGGATCATTGTGATGCTGGAAGACCCAGTCACGTTTCATCTTCAAAGCTCTCACTGATGTAAGGAGGTTTTGGCTCAAATTCTCTTTGATACATGGCCCCATTCATTCTTTCCTTAACACGGATCAGTCGTCCTGTCCCCTTAGCAGAAAAACAGCCCAAAAGCATGACGTTTTCACCCCCATGCTTCACAGTAGGTATGGTGTTCTTGGGATGCAACTCAGTATTCTTCTTCCTCCAAACACAACGAGTTGAGTTTATACCAAACAGTTCTACTTTGGTTTCATCTGACCACATTAAATTCTCCCAATCCTCTGCTGTATCATCCATGTGCTCTCTGGCAAACTTCAGACGGGCCTGGACATGCACTGGCTTCGGCAGGAGGACACGTCTGGCACTGCAGGATTTGATTCCCTGTCGTCGTAGTGTGTTACTGATGGTAACCTTTGTTACTTTGGTCCCAGCTCTCTGCAGGTCATTCACCAGGTCCCCCTGTGTGGTTCTGGGATATTTGATCACCGTTCTCATGATCATTTTGACCCCACGGGATGAGATCTTGCGTGGAGCCCCAGATCAAGGGAGATTTTCAGTGGTCTTGTATGGTTTCCATTTTCTGATAATTGCTCCCACAGTTGATTTATTCACACCAAGCTGCTTGCCTATTGCAGATTCACTCTTCCCAGTCTGGTGCTGGTCTACAATTCTTTTCCTGGTGTCCTTCGACAGCTCTTTGGTCTTGGCCATAGTGTAGTTTGGAGTCTGATGGTTTGAGGCTGTGGACAGGTGTCTTTTATACAGATAACGAGTTCAAACAGGTGCCATTGATACAGGTAACGACTGGAGGACAGAAGAGCTTCTGATAATGCTGTTTCAACTACAGTTGAACCTGATGAAATCTCAAACAACAAAGAGACAAAGTTAATCTTTTACTTGTTACATTGTCACAAGGAGAATGTCTTGACAGAGGCAAGGCACAGACCCTAGCCTCTCTCAGGACAAGTCTGAAGATTCACAGTCTGCAAGCCCCTTTTGGTAGAACAAGACACCTTCGTATGCAGATGGGAAAGGAAGAAACCAACACAACAAAAGACACTTAGCATATGAGCTCCCCAGACCTCCCGGTGTCTTCCTGAAGCTAAAGTGAATTACAATACAGAGCATTCAGCACATAGCCACATATGATTTACCAAAATGATAACTTAAGTTACATTCCAATATCAGCTTCTTAAAGAAGTTACAGGTTTGTGAGAGCCAGAGATCTTCCTTGTTTGAAGTGACCAAATACTTATTTTCCACCATAATTTACAAATAAATTCTTTAAAAATCCTACAATGTGAATTCCTAATTTATTTTTTCACATTCTGTCTCTCACAGTTGAAGCAGATGATGAAAATTACAGACCTCTGTCATTATTTTAAGTGGGAGAACTTGCACAATTGGTGGCTGACTAAATATTTTTTTGCCCCACTGTACAACACATTTTTACAACTAGTATTCTGTATATTTGAGTTCACATTTTTGACCCAGCCCTCCACAACATGTTGTCTTTATCATGCGGCCTCCTGTATAAAATTATTGCTCTATCAGGTTAGCTATAGCTGACAGCTTGTGATCTGGTATGACGTAGCTCTCACATCCGCATGAGTCTGGACGGAGTGGAGATCTTCACCAACGGATCAGCTAGTCATCATGAGCTCCGCAAAGCTGACCAGAGAGTCCTCCTAGTCACCACCTCTACTGCCAAGGTGAGGAGAGGAGAGGGGAGGAGGAGGAGGGAGAAGGGGAGGCGGAGGAGAGGAAGGAGCGTTATTCATCTTTATTTATATAGCACATTTTACAGACCAAGGTCACTCAAAGCGCTTTACAGAGTTCAGCGAGACAACGAACACTCTGGCGCATCAAAGCCTCAACCATGAGAGGAGAAGGAAGAGGAGCAGAAGGAGGGTAGAGGAGAGGGCAAGAGGGCAGGAGGAGACTAGGAGAAGGAGAGGGGGGAGAGGAGGCGCATACTGAGACAGGGGAACTTGCGTATGTCCCGGTGTGCATTGTCGGGGCGTGTGTATACGTGACCCTGCATCTTTGCTCAGTCTGGGGGAGTATACCTGTGCTCAGTGTGGGGGAGTGTACCTGTGACCTTTTACCTGTGACCCTGTACCTGTGCTCAGTGTGGGGGAGTTTACCTGTATGCTAACCAAAGAGGATGTGATGGCGACAGAGTTTACTACGATGGATGTGCGATGATCTGCATCAATGGAGAAACAGTGTCTCAAGGAGAGCAGTTCTCACTCCAGGACGTGGTGACCAGACCCAGGACCAGACCCAGGACCAGACCCAGGACCAGACCCAGGACCAGACCCAGGACCAGACCCAGGACCAGACCCAGGACCAGACCCAGGACCAGACCCAGGACCAGAGGAGGAGGTGCTAACTCTACTTCTATTGTAGGAGGTGCTGACTGCTACGTTGGACCTTGAAGACGTGTGCAGCTACAGAGGAGAGAGATGTCATCCACATCTGGTGAGAATGATGTCATATGGATAGCTAGATAGATCTCTCTCTATATATCCAGGGGTGCACATAAGTGGTAAGCAGGTATGCATGCGCGACAAATATCAGAAATG